CTCCGCCATGGCGAGACGAAAACAAGTAGTGGCAGGGATGGAAGTCTGGTCGTTGGGTCGACAAGGGTGGGACAGGCGGCGGGCTCAAGTGCGTCACCTGTGACTGCGCCAAGAACGACCTCAAGGCCAGCTTCTGCAAGCATTGTGGCGGCTCACTCTCCAAGGTCCACGTGGCGGAGGCGCCTCCCGTGGGCGGGGCGTGGGCGGCTGGCATCCCTCCTGGCATGTTTGCTGCTCCTCTTCCTGTGCGGGGTCAAGGGGCAGGTGAATTCCGCAAGGGGAACGGCAAGGGCGCCCATGGCCACGGCCCCGCTGGCGTCGGTGGACCTGGCAAAGGGGCTGGAGGCAAGCAGCCCTTGACGGTGGGCGCCCAGCCACAGCTATCGTTGGAGGGGGCTCGACAGCTCGCATCTTTTCCGCGCAAGGCGGGGGGCGCTGCCGGCGCAGAACGATACCATCAGCTGGCCCAGCTGATCTACACCAGGGACAACCCGTCGGCTGTCCCCATCCACCAGAGGATCCAGAAGAGCTACGCGGAGGTATCCAGACTGGAAAAGCAGATTGCTGGCGAGCTTGACAAGCTTGAGAAGTGGCAGCGAGATGTGGAGGCCCAGCGTGTGTACCTCGAATCTCTCCAGGAGGCGTTGGGGAAGGCTGACGACGCCTACCAGCAGGACGTCGAGGAGCTCCAGGCTGCCCGCAACGTTGAGAGCGGTGCGTCGCCTGCTTCGACGGCGCTCAAGCTCTCGGCATTGGTGGGCGGCTCCATCAACATCGGCGACCTCATCGTGATGGACGAGCTGGTGGCGGACGCTTCGCTCGAGACATCTCTCGAGGAGGCCGACCTGGCGGATATCAACCAGCGGCGCCAACAACTGGGGGCTTCCATCGAGCAGGCCGCGTCGGAGCTCCTGGGGCCTCTGGTTGCGCAGGCTGCCGAAGCGCGTGCGGCGCATCAGCAGCACATGGCTCGGCTGGCGGCAAAGAAGAGGAAGACGGACCCAGAATCTGGCACGGGCTCGGCCCCAGGAGGCGGTGGCGGAGCTCCTGCAGGTGGAGACGGCCAGCCTGGAGGAGCTGCCGGCGCTGGCAGTGACGCGCCTTCTGCCCCAGCCGCTGAGGGTGAGGCTGGAGGCCCCACCAAGGCGGACGATTTGCGTGCCCGAGTCGCGAGGGCGCTGTCGTTGTCCAATACATCCCCCCCTCCCGCGGCGGCGGGGGGGGGGGGGGGCGGGAATCTGCCTGAGAACACAACGCCCTCGGAGCAGCTGAGTAAGTTGCTTGATTATCTCGCCTCGCGTGTTTTTTGCCCGGCGTCTGCTCGCTCGTCTATCGCTCGCTGCTGCTGTCGCATTCGGCAGCCTCGTTTTTTTTTTTTTTTTTTTTTTTTTGTTTTGTTTTGTTTTGTTTTTGTTTTCTTACAGTATTTTTTATTGTCTGTTCGGATGGTGGACGCCTTCCGACTACTGCGAGGCTGAGGCCGAGCGAGCAAGCAGTGCTGCCAAGCCGCGACGGTCTGCCAGCCTTTCTTTCAGGGCCTGTTGTCTGCACCCCGCCCCGACCCCCCCAGGCACAGTTTCCCCTTCACGTTCAGACCGTCAATGGGAACTGTTGGGGCTCGATGCGGGACTGGATCTTGTCCTCGATCGCCCGCGTCATTTTGATCCAGGAGCACAAGCTGATAGCTGGGGACCACGTCGATAAGGCTTCGCAGTGGTGCCCGGCTCGTGGTTTCAAAAGTATTTGGGAACCAGCGGCCCCAAGAAAAGGTTATGCTGCCTCTGGAGGCGTCGCTATCCTGGCGAGGGGCTTCCTTGGGCTTCACCTTCCTCCTGAAGGCTCGCAGGTCTGGCCCCATCGCGTGGTCGCTGGAGGTGTTCATCCTCCTGGGGGCTATGAAACCAAGGTTCTGTCTTGCTATTTGGTCACCTCCCAGGGGCTGTCGGACACCAGTGCCAGCATCCTCGCAGCCATCGGCAGCTCCTTGCAAGTTGCTGGCAGTGGAGGTCTCGTCGGAAGGGGAGGGATTTCAACCTGCAGCCAGAGGACTTGGAAGACATTGGGGTTGGCGCCAAACTGCAGGGACAAGATCTGGCCCCGTCGGGCCCGACGTGCTTTATGGCGTCGCCCCTACTAGTTTTTTTGGGGGGTCTCTCTCTCTCTCTCTCTCTCTCTCTCTCTCTCTGGGGGTCTGCGGGTCTGGCTCAGGCTGTGCGCAACATCAGCGTCGACACTGGTGCGGATTTCTCCCCCCGCTGCCCCGTCGACCTAGTTTTTTTCCCTCGGCTTGCTGATTTACAAGTGTTGGCTTTTCGGAAGCCGCCACCTCTTCCTGTGGAGGCGCCGTTTGGCCCTCGCGCTGAGCCTCCGCCCTGGGGCCAAGTGTTGGACATGGCTGACCATGCCGTCCACGCTGTCGACAGAGGGGGCGCCTCCAGGGGCCAGGGGTTGTTATCCAATCTCTACCAGTCTTGGGCCAACCTTTCGGAAAAAGGGTTGT